ACCGCCATCTGAATCAAGAATCCAAAGGTTAGTAGAAATTAATTTTTTACCATGTAACATGAAATTTGGTAAGTAGCGGATTGCAATTATAAATTAGCGATATGGAGAACTTGGCATTAATTAAAAAAGAGATAATTAAGGTAGAATATAATAAACTTAATTATTTGGCCCACCCTTAGTGTAACAGATAAAAAAAAATTTGTAGGCAATTAAAGTGAAAAGATAACTATTTGTAGGCAAAATAATTTACTGTAATTAATAGAATTAAAGAACATTAATTACAAGTAATGTATTTACACAAATGTAGCTGATTGCAATTTTATTAACGCATCAATTTTCTTAACACAAATGTATAATATTTTTACTTGGCATCAATTTTCTCAACGCATTCTTTTGTTTGATAGTTTCCCTGGTTTACGCAACAATATATTTCAATCGTACCGTAGTCATAATAAGCATACTGTTCTTAATAAAAGCATGAATTTAAAGATAAAATGGTATTTTGGCTCTGTGAAAAAAGCCTCATAAAGGTGCATATGATATGAGAATAATGAAGCGGTGACAGTTGAGGTTGTAAATTTATTCAAAGCTTTTTACAAAAAAGCAAGCATGGTCCTGAATGGTTGAAATAAATCTGCGGCATGTTTTAGATAAATTGCTAAGGTAAATTTGGTATGGAAAAAAGAAAGGACAATAAAAGTTGGCATTCATATGTTTACTGAACATATAAGAAGGATAACGTTTCTCGTAGAATAAATGTAAAACAAGTTGTCTAAGTTCTACCGGTTGGTGTATCAGAGAAGATGCAGAACTTATTGTACCAAGGAAACAGTTTTTCGACTCCACGTTTGTCGAAGATCAGGACAGTATAGCAAGACTCTGTTTCAGGGATAAATACTAAAGCGTCGCCAAATTGTAGCTGATGCTCAAACTTAAACGTGTTCCAATTAGTTGTAAACTGTCTCCGACGCATTCCAAGAGTGATTGTCTTGTTTCCAGTTCTTAGGGTGATCAGAGGAGTTTTCTCACCATGTGTGAAGAAGGATACAAATTTGGGCACTTTCTGTTGTTCAGTGAAAAAAAAATGATTACTGGGAAAGAAAGTAATGAATGAAAAAATAAAACAGGAGATAACTGAAGCTCACAAAATTATGTTGGTTTTGCTAAGTGAAGATCTCATAGAATGATAGACCATCAGCTATGTCTTGAATGAAATTTGGTTTCATTGCCGATGCTACTTTCTGACACTGCATTCTTTGTTCTGTGTTTCATAAAAAAGGTAAGCGTACAAAGCTGGCAAATAAAACAAGAATAATACTAAAAATCTGGAATTTTTTAAGCACGAGAAAAACTAACTTTTTAGGAAAACATGCTCTGGAGTATCTAACATACTAGGTAGCGGATGAGTCCAAGGTAAGTAGTCATGCGTTTTTGCTGCTGAGTAATGGAGCATGTTGAACAACAAGTTTCCGGAATGCCGAAGGAACATTGTGTCATCTTCACGGATGATATTATTCTCGCAGAAGTCTTGCCATCCTTCTCCAAACCATGTTTCTAAAATACTGATAGTCCATGTTCTATAGCCTTCTCGAATAGTTATCGTACGTTGTTGGTTTTTCTTAGAAGCAGCAGAAACTGAGCAGGGAATATCTAATTATTTTGAAAACACTTTGGTTATCATTAAAGAATTTACATTGCATGAGAAAAACTAAACTATATAGAAGCAAAAGTACCTGCTTAGAACTGTTACTCCTAAAGAAGAAACAGTATTCCATGCTGCCGGTAATATTTGGTGGAAGACTGGAGGGTCTAACACTTTCAAAGAACTCCATACTTGTTTGTTATTATAACTGTAATAGGCTTTTGAGGCTGTAGATTTTAGTAGGTTGTTCTTGTCATATATATATAGAGGCTTCATAACAAGAACAAGTAGCATTAATTGGGCTGTATGAGTATCTGGTAACCAGTGGATTTATTTAAAGTGGTTGAACTAATAGCTGTAGGATCAGTAATGAATGCAAAAAGGTAGTCTTGGAAAGGTTCAATGTGGTTTGATGTTTGCAACCAACAGTTAATTCATAGTACATTATATCAGAAGAAATGAACTGGAAAGTGAAAAAGCTTTGATAAATATATTGAATGGCGAAATGTTTTGCTGTTGGCAATCAACGCTACTTTCAAATAGCATAAATGGTACGGGATGATGTGCAAACATTATAGCGATTATGGTACTTTCAAATTAAGTTGGAAAGGCATGCAGATTAACGGGCAAAGCTTAACAGTGTGTAGAAATACATAGTTCAGCCATATGAATATTTCATAGGCACATCAGTAGCATGACAGTGCTCAAAAAACGTTGAGACTTGGTTTCCTTCACCACACAAAAAGGCACATAGCACCGAATGCAGCAAAAAAAATGTAGCTTGTTTGGAAAGGGAACTATTCTAATCTTGTCTGGGTTTTTTCCTGGGGCTGCTCAGAAGAGCTTCAGAGCTTAATTGCCTACTTTCATTAGACTCGTCAAATTTTTGAAGAAGACAAACTTTAGCTTTGGAAAAAGACGTTCCGCCTATTGAAAAGCAGTAACCATACCTGACTCAGTAAGTTGGCTATTTCATAGAAAAACAAACATGTCTATAGTACAGATTAAATGTAATAGCACTTCTTATCTGTAGAGTTATTCATTCACATTGTAAAACAAAGATGATTAAGTAGAGGTTATAACCTGATGAAGGACAAGGAACGGTCTGTTCACTGGAGTCTGTAATAAAAACTTGTTCATGAGAAGCTTCTTTATAGTATACCATTGTGAAACGCTGATTTGCATCAGCCAAGGGAACTTGTGCAGGTCTAATGTACGCAAGGAACTTTTTTTATTTTAGGTCCTCATGCAGAATTTCAAGTGGTAACACCATATTCTGCAAGGTACAAAACAAAAGAATATATATATACACACATATATAGATATGTACTGATGCGGCATGGTAAGAGCAAACCTAAAAATAATGCTTCATTGCTTCTTTTGCTGTGAACGTTAGCAGTTTCTCAGCTAAATCACCAAACAGTGTGGTTGTGACTGTTCCGGTGTCATCAGAGAGATCAATATCAAATTTACACCTATTAAATATGCAAGTTTTATATAAGGCACAACAGAGGGAAAGAAATGATAATATAATTAGCAGTAGCAGCAGAAATGATAAGTAACAAATAAATTAATGATGATCATACCTTGGTTCAGCCTTGTGCTTTTGTTTACAAGTATTACACATGAACAAGACACCATAATCCGCAGACGTGGAGCGGAAGCATTTTTCACACCCCATGTACCAAAATTTTTGAAAGATGTGTTCAAATGAGAATGATGCTTCCACCCACATATTCTAAGAATATAGTCAGTATATGAATTAGTCAAACTATTTGCAGGCTGAAATCTACTGATCAGGTTACAATCATGGCAGTACCTTGTGTTTTGAGCTGATATTTGAGATATCAGTAATTTTTTGATCTGCTTGAAAAGAGATATCAGGATTGTATCGATTATATGTTCTCTTTTCAACAATGTCTGCAAAGCATTTGGCATTTCTACTTGCCCTGTATATAGGATACTAAGATTGTTAGCCAAATAGGGAAAATATCATTTTTTTATATGCAACTGAGACTGAAAATTATAAGAGTGAAACCAGCTCTTAAGTATCTCTGACTGTCAAAAAATAGATAATTTATAAAGTCTATAAGCAACAAATATTGAAAATTATAAGAGCAGAACCAGTTCTTCAGTTCCCTTGCTTCTTGGACAGGTGGATTTACAAGGATTGTTGAATCAAATCAAGTAGAAAGAGCTACTCCTATAAAAAAGAAAAGGGGAAGCAATATGTTATTTGAAAAAATGCACAGATAGAAAAAGGTTAGATGTTCAAAACATGTAAGGGGCAAATGTTATACTTACCATTATAATTTTGAACCTTTAGCCTTCTTCTAATAAGAACAGGATAGTTCTGAATGTTTGAAATAATCTTGGAGCCTTCATTGTCAATAAAAGCATTCCACATAGATAGCATAAGTGTCTGCAATCTGACATATTTGAAACAGAGGAACTCTTAATATTTTCTTGGAAAAGGCTGTAATCTGTAGCAGCAGATAGTCATTGTATACAAAAATTAAGGCTTCTTACTCTTCATTAACAATGACAAGCTTCTGGACTCGTGCTTCCTTTGAATTAATCGTGACTTTTTTTTCATCCACCGCAGGAATAACAATTCCCATAATATCTAGTGAGAGGAACCTAAAAAATAAGCCTAACAGCATATAATAACCAAGGTAGATCAGTTATGGTAGAAAAGGAAGAAACTCACCAACAGAAATGTCCTTTCGATCCATGTACTGTGCCAAGTCCCTAAAGTTGGTATACGTAAACTTTGCAGCTATAACATCCTCTTCGTCTACAATCTCTTCAATAAGTGTTCGACTGGTGATTATCCATTGCTTTGCTAGCTCAGTGGTTCTAAAGTTATCAGGGATCCTTTTCACCTGAGCATTAGAGATGAGGTATTTTTTGTAAACCTCTATTCTGGGGCTCATTATAGCAATATCAGCATTAAAAATGATGCCTTCAACCTTTGATCCCTGAAAATGAATTATTATGATGGTGGACAAATGAGTAGTATATAAACTCCTTAGTTTAGCAAATAGGATTATGAGAATAGAAGTTAAACTGCAATAAATACCTCAGAATCAATGAAGATAAATTTTTGTTTCCTAGTTGGTGTGCTAATTGATGAGGTAACTTGCTGTTTATCCTGGACAATGACCTTTGCTGTCCACTTCTCCATCCCGACCTCAACATCATTGATAAATAATATAGTGCACATCCTATACTCATTAGCAATAATAAGAGTAAATAAGCAAGAATTTCTGTTTGGAAGGCAAAAGGAAATTATAAGCTCTGAAAACAATAGCTAACAACATTTAAATGTCAAGATACCTATGAAGAGTGCAAATGATCAATTAGACAACTGCAATATTTCATCAAACACAATATTGCTTGTTTTGCAGTCAGTTTTTACTTCAGCAAAAGTTCCTGGAAGTATGAGAACTTTAACTGCATTAGCAGTTTTTGCTCTAGAGAGTGCAACGTATAATTGTCCATGAGAAAATATGAGTTCCTTTAGATATACACCAACATAGTCAAGAGTTTGGCCTTGAGCCTTGTTAATTGTCATTGCAAAACATAGGCAAACTGGAAGTTGTGTTTTGATGAATGGAATCCCATTCTTTTCAGTATTAGGTGTCTGTAATGGGATTCTGGGAATGAAAATCTTCTTCCGTTTATGCTGACCAAAAGCTATCTCAGCACAGATAGTGTGGCGTCTTAGCTGTCGACAAATAAGTCTTGTGCCATTGCACAATCCTTCAGCTGGATTTAGATTCCTGAGCAAGATCAAGGGACAGTTTTCTTTTAGCATGAGTTTGTGTGGAGGAAGAACCTTTGGATTTTGAGAATTCAAAAAATCCTCATAATCTGCCTGAAATCTCTGATCAACAATTTGGTCAGAGCTTTTATAAGTAAAAAGCTGTCCAGGAAACCTTTGAATCATCATTTCATTGATGTCTTCAACAGAGGTATTTTTTGGAGTTAAAATACATCTACTGATCATTTCATAAGGATCAGATAAGTAGAGATTCAAATCTGGAAACGTGTAAGCTATCAACCTGGTTGAAAAAGTTTCTGTTAGCAACCTGTGCAAGATATATGTAGTAATACTGATGGAAAAAGGGCAGGAGTGTGCGATAAATACAGGAAATATAGAGGACCTGTCAAAAGAATCTTTCATATTGTGGAATGGTATAACCATATGACTTGGTAAACATATCTGGTTATCTGCATCAACAGGTTCTGCACCTTCCCCAACAGCAAGCAAGAATTGTGAAAAGGCAAGATCTAAGACAGCCCTCATGTTCTGTGTTAACTTTATTTTGTGCATCCTAAACCATAATGAAGAATGTAGGAGGCTAGCCTGAATTAACTGGTCCTTAGTAACTCCTAGAATAACGGGAAGAGTTTGGCGAAAATCGCCCCCAAAAATTACAACTTTGCCTCCAAAAGGATCATCAGTCTCCATTACATCTTTCAACAATTCTTCAAATGTTTCAATACTTTCTCTTTTTGCCATTGATGCTTCATCCCACAAGAACAACTTGCATTCAATGATTAATTGTGCCATGCTGCTTTGCTTGCTCAATTGACAGGTTTTATTCTTGGAAAAGTCCAATGAAATTTTAAATCTGGAGTGAGCAGTTCTTCCTCCAGGACGAAGTGATGTTGCAACTCCTGAAGTCGCTACAGCTATTGCAATGTATCCCTGCGATCTAAGTGTTGCAAGAAGAGAACGATATAAAAATATTTTTTCCATTCCCCCTGGACCATCAATGAAAAAGCTCTGGCCTTTGGACGAAAAAACAGTCTGCAATATCAAATCATCAGCATGTTTTTTGTTCTGCATTTAACTTTGAAGTTATCAAGAAATCTTCTGGTGACACCACAATACTCTTTTCACTGTCCACTTCCTTTGTCATGCTTTCATGACAGCTAAGAGCAACAGCATTTACAACTAAGTTGTAGTCACTGATATGCCTCCCCATATATTGGAGCGATTTGTTAATATCAGACAAAACCTTTTGTCTTATTTCAGTAGCTGAACAATGAGTCTATACCTGCGCTCGTTCGAAGTCTCTGGAAAGTTTCATTTCAAATTTTTCCCACAAAAGACTTGGATTTGTTGGAGCACAATGCAAAAGCAAAGTAACAAATAAAAATCTAAGCAAGGAAGGCATCTGAAAACCAGCAGCTTCTTCAAGTGTTGCCTCAATGAAAGAATCAGATTCTAAGAGGCCAAGCTCTAAAGCAGCCTTTCTAAATGAATTCAGTTTACATCCATTAACTATCAAGAAGTCATCAAAGGATGCAGGAGCTCGAACATGCGAGAGAAGAAGTCTTAAATAATACCTATCACCTTCGCTTGGTTTAACAGTGACTAACCTGCCAATAACCTTGTGTTTGCTTCTTTCTATCCAGTTTCTTTTAGCAGGTGTCCACACAAAAGTGCTGAGCAAAATCTCGATGCAAACATTTGAGACTTTGAGCTTTTTTGTTAACACGGTTCATTCTAAAGAACTCAGTTAACATAGTTTTGGAGAAATAAATTTTTTTTAAGAGCTGTGAAAGATTAGAATCTTGATTAAAGGAAACATATTGATGACCAGGAATATGAACCTGAAGACTATAAACAGCAGGGGTCATTTCATTCAATCGAAATGCATAAATTCGCCACAAAGCTTCTGGAAGAGAAACCCATCGACCTCGCTGGAACTCCTTGATCTCATCAACATCTTGAGGTGTTTCATCAGCTATGGTGTGGAAGTTGACAAGATCATGGCCTTTAAATATGTATTTGTATAAATACTTAACTAACTTGATAGTTGAACAAATTTCCACGTTGATGTGACAATCAATCAAAGCTAGCAAGTATGGAGTATACGGGATGATCCACCTATTATCCAAATCATAACCTTTGACTCTGATTTTTTTGCCATCCTTTCGTTTGCGATAATTTGGATAGCTATCCTCACCGTGAGTCATATGTTCAGAATACCCTTTTGGATAGTAATTTTTGCAAACACTGTTTTTCATACAAGGGCTATTTTTGTTCATTTTTCCACAAGGGCCATGTATCATGTGTCTTACAACAAGAGAATAAAGATGAGGACGCTCTTTACGATCAAGCAGCTCAGCAGAAACAATTTTATCATAGGCTTCTGGATTAAGAGGCTTAAACTGCAGTTTCAATATAAACAGTAAGTGAGCATGGGGAAAGCTTTTTTTTTGGAATTCAATAACATAAACATAGGCTGCAACGTCTCCAAATATTTTCTTTGCAACCAACTCTACTCTCAGTATTTCAAACTTTGCCCTGAACACTCTAGCTAAAAGATCGGGTCTGTCCTGAGGTTTTTCTTTGTACTTTAAATGTTCCTGAATTTCTGGCCACAGTGGATTGCATGTCATGGTCAAAAAAACCTGACCATGCATGTCATGGTCAGGCTTTCCATATTTTTTGGCTAAAGCCATTGCATCAAGATATCTACGCCTCATATCTCGCGGTCCTCTGAGAAACGAAACTGGCAAATATATTCGCCGGCCAACTTTAGAACCTGACGTCTGGCCTAAAAAGACACTGTCCATTATTCCTTGAAGAGCTTCAGTCCGAATGGTATTTTGTTTGTTTCTGTGAAAATCAAGCCTAGATGTCTCTATCTTAACGTAGATATCAACAACATACTGCTGTAACAATCTCAGTGCATGTAACAACATGGACTCATCGTCATTTCTCATTTGAAACCTATAGTAGTAGTATTCCCTAGCAGTGACATTAGTTTTCTGTTTCTTGCCATGATCAGCGACTGAAATAAAATGGAACTATGTATTAATGACATGAAGGAAAAAGACAATATGCTTGAAAATTATAACATGCTTCCAAGATGTTAAGTTAATACTTGCCTCTTTGTTCCAGGTTAATCAAATTAGATGGACCACTGATAGATGCTAGATCAATAGGAATATCATCTTCACAAACATGACGCGCTCTTTTCCTATTTTCGCACGTAATCCTTTGAATTCCATGGTGCCATCCAGACTCACTACAAGGAAATAATAAAGGATACTGCAAAGAGTCATAGCAAGCATAATAATGCTTAATCATATGACTTTGATCGGAATGACTATAAACCTGAATATGAACTGACTTATCAACTGATTCATCATCAGTCTCAGTCCATATAGCAGCAACTTGAGAAGCTAATGGAAGATTATATATACACTGATCAAGAGCAGGATTGCAATTAAGAACAATTCTATGGTGTTCGAGATCAGGAATATGACGCAAATCCTTAAAGAATTTGGCATAAGGATTGCCGGCTAAAATGCGCATAAGCAATTTAAGGGTGCTTTCGCGAAGTCAAGAAGAAACATCAAGTCTCCTTGTAAGTTCCTCATCTGTATAAAAAAAGTACAATTGAATACTAGATGGTTTATGATGCTGTGATACCAAACCATCAAGGAAGTGATATACTTGGCCTTGTATTCGAAACGTATAAACACCGTGTTTATTTTTCGTCAGTTCTGGATCATATTTTGCAGCAAAAGTAGTGAAAGAAACATTGTTGTTGTATGTACGAGCATTCTTCCTGACATCATCACCGATAAAGAGGCGGTGAAGATCATAAGGCATTGGTGCAGTGACCAGTGAAACTTCTCCTCCTGAACAACAGAAATTAGGAGGTTCTAAATGGAACCGTATAGCTCCACAATACTGACAACTTGGAGAAGCAGGGAGAATCAAAGAATGGTCAGAAATCCTTTCTAAACGAGGGAGAATAATTTTCCTAGATATTCACTGCTGACCTGGAACAAAGGGCACTTGTTTGTTTTTTTTGTTCCATGGATAAGCTGGACAAGAACTAAACGTGAAAAGGTAATAATAAAAGATTTAACTAGACACAATTAGAATGCAACCTGAGCTGCATGTTTTTCTGGACACTGGAGCACGTTTGACAGTGTTAGAGTGAGTTGCATTTCCTGTGAGTGAAAATGAGCTAAGCATGCACAAAAAGGTAAGAAGATATAGAGAGGTTGTAGCTATAAGGAATGAGTAATATGAATGCGGATGACGAAGGAAAAACAGGCAGATAGACTATAAGAGCTGTTTAAAAGACCAAAGTAGAAGGGAAAAAGAAGAAGCTTAACAGATTCACTCAAAACAGTAACACGGTAGAGAAAATAGGAAAAATGATGAGTAAAGTGTATTAAGACAGCAAAGCTGAAAACTAAGGTTAAGGTCTACCTTGTTGTACATTAGACAGAATGGAACTTGCAATAATAGAAGAGGAAGCATGCTTTTCACTTTCCAATGAAGCTTTTGTAAAGCTGAGCAGGTGCGGTAGTTCAGCACCTGTTAACACGTTTTCTGACTGAACGTCAAAAGAATATGAAGCTCTACCTGCTAACTCATCACTGATCAGAATATCAGCATTTTGATTAGAAGCAGCGTGCAAAGAAGCATCAGGAATACTAATGGTTGTTCCTACAAGATCAAACGGAGGTTGTTCAATGGAATTTGGACGTTTTCTCTTAGAAGTGCCAAAGTTTGGCACACAATCAGAGGCAGAAGGGGGCATATTTTTTTTTCTTTGAAGCATTAGCCTCCCTTTGACGGCGTAAAAGATCATCCTTTTTATCTTGTGGCATTTGTGCGTAACGACGTGTGCTAGCTGCCCTTTGATAGCGTAAAAGTTCATCCTTCCTTTCTCGGGTCATCTCTTCATAACGTTTCTGGCGTTTTGCATTTCTATCCATGATATTATATGATATGATACGAGTCGTGTGAGAGAACTACACAAATGGCTTACAGGTATTTCCAACCGCAAAGTAGGCATATTAGACAGGAAGTAAAAGCAGAAGAAGATAACGTGGCATATACAAAAAATGAAGAACAAAGTAGCTAATAACTGTTTGACAGAAGGAGATGAATAGATCAGTAAAGATAATGCCTGAATGACAATAAAAAAATGTTAAGTACATTTTGCTGAAGCAAGGAAAAGTAGTAGCAACTTGTAGCCGGCAAAATCTGGAGGGAATTAAGAGGGCCACGAAAAATAGCAAGAAATGTTACAAAACAACAAAGTGTAGAAACAATAATAACATGAAAACGAACATGACCAAGAAAGCACATGAAGCATATAGAACGGAGGCAATGTTTCAGAATGAAATCCGACAAAAAAAGGAACAGAGGCAACAAAAAAACTAGGCAGAAGCGAAAGTAAAAGTGGAAACTAAAACAATAAGAGACAACAATGCAATAAACGATAGAACAAACAGAATCGTAAAACTAAAAAAAGTGCAAGATGAATAATAATAGCATCGACAGGTAGAATAAAGCAGTAAGCAGGATAAGTAGAAGGATATGGGGAAAAAAAACAAGACCAAGGGTAAAAATATAAAGATTAGTACAAGAATAGGGATAGTGAAATTGGAGCAGCACTTACAGTAGATGTAACAGCAAACAGCAGAAAAACAGCAATAACACTGATTGAAGAAAGACGCACAAGGAAACAGAGGAAAGGAAAAGCTCAAGGAAGAAGAAGCGGAAGCAATGCACAAAACAAAGTAAAAGAAGAAGGAAAGCAGGCTAAAATGCAAGGGAAAGAAATTGAAATGATTACCTTGCTTCTCTTGCATGCATGAGAACCCAGGAAAGCATGTCTAAAGACGTGCAAATTTTGTATGGAGACGCCAAAAATTAATGGATTGTAGGCTGCGTAAGCTGAGAGATGAATCCGCTGACTAATAGTAGAGACGGGGAAGATGGCTGCTTATAATGGCTCGATTATTAATGTTCTATTTTTTAGTATACTAATCTAGCATTAGTATTAGCAGCATAATAATAAGTACTATTATTATTATGACTAATAATAATTCGATTACAGTATAGATAAGATATGATTAATAATAATTTCATTACAATATAGATAAGATAGATAATATAAGAAAATATTTAAAAAATGAAAAAATGAAAATACAACTAAAATTATTATGCAATAGATAAGATAGGATTAATAATAATTTCATTACAATATAGATAAGATAAATCATATAAGAAAATATTTAAAAAATGAAAAAACGAAAATACAACTAAAATTATTATGCAATAGATAAGATAGGATTAATAATAATTTCACTACAATATAGATAAGATAGATCATATAAGAAAATATATAATAGGAAAATGTAAAAACGAAAATAAAGCAAAAATTATTATGCAAAATGGAAAAAAGATAGTCAGGTAGTAATAACAACAGAATAAGTTATATTAAATACGGGATAAAGAAAAAAATAAATATAAAAAATGAACTAAATATTTATTTTAAAGGAGGAGAGGAAAAAAACAGCATGGGTAGTATATAAAAAAGAAGCAAATATGGATAGTGAAATAATATATAAAAAAGAATTTATAACTAATATAAAAAATATAGACTAAATAGAATATAAGTATATAATATACAATATAATAATATAATATAAAAACAAAGAAGGAGTGGAAAAAAAATAACATGGGCATATAAAAAGAAGCAAATAATGGGATAGTGACTAATCTGAATTGAGGGAGGAAAAATTGAAGATAGATGGTGCATGATGACAGAGCAGCAAAAAGACAGCAACCCACTTAAGACCAGCAACGGGATTTGCACGGCCACGTGATTTGCACACGAGTACGAGGAGGAAAGACCAGCAACAATTCAAGCGGCATTCCCACTTTATATAAGGTTCTTTATATACAATACTTCCAAAGTTAATTAATAAATCTTTGACCAGCATATCTTGCTTTCCCAAATTTAGTGGGCCTTCAAATGCCGAACGAAGGCTTCGTTTAGGGAGCGTTCTCCCATTTGTCTGCCCAAACTCTAGTTTTTCCCCCATTTCCAATGTTCCAAATAAGCCCCATATTGAGGAGTTGTGTTCCCTGCTGTGACATCTTGAAATTTGGAGAGGTTCTGATGCTTGGTTTTGAGTAAAGGGTTAGCGATTTGTTGAGTTCAGTACTGGCTTCATCAACAAATCTATTCCTAACCAATTGAACCCATGGTTTTTTTTTTATGCTGGTAGCCATGCTCCATGCCATTTTAACCATAGCTGTTTTAATTATCAAGGTAGTTTGCCTTAATTCTAGCCCTCCTAGATGTTCTGGGTTAGTGACTATATGCCAGTTTACAAGATGTATCTTCCTTTTTTCAGCGGTCGACCCCCAGAGGGAATTCCTCTGCTCTTTGTCGATGGTATCACAAATGCTTTTAGGGATAATTGCACATTGAGTGTAATGGCTAGGGATGGCAGCAATTGCTTATTGGATAATGGCCTTCCTACCTGCCAGGGATAGCACATTAGCTTTTCAATCTTTTAGTTTGTTCTGAACTTTAAGGAGGAGGAAATTATATGTTTGCTTTTCTTTTTCTTTTTTTTGGCTGCAATGATAATATTCATATAATTTTATTTGTCTTATTTTACAGGAAAGAGGAGTCTAAAGAAATTATATAAGGGGCTAATAAGTATATAGACTCGACTAGATCAAATGGATGCTCTAGCATCTCCTTTAAATTTTTTTCAAAATAAGTGGAATTTGAACCCCCGACTTACAGTCTAAAAAGGGATTTAATACGTTTTTTATGACCACTAAGCCAATGCTCGATGCTTGGAAATTATACGTTTGCAAGGACGGCCTTTTAGAGGAAAGAGGGAAGTTCAAGTACAAACCCAAATCATTGTTACTTTGTATGTTCAGAGCAGAAGAAATAAAAGCCTTAGATTCAAGAGAAGCACTAGGTGAAAAAAGGACTCTAGATTTTTCCACATTAATGGTCAGACCAGAGTAAAGGGAGAAATCTTCTAAAGTCTCAAGACCGCCTCATGGATCTAGAGTCTGTGGGGCTAAACAAGAGAAGGTCATCGGTAAACAAGCAATGAGAGAGGGAGGGCCCTTGTCTACCAAACTGAAGGGGGCTGCCAGGCCTTTGTGCTTACTACATGGTCAATTTTTGGAGAAAGAAATTCCATGCAAATAAGAAAAAGATATGAGATTAGTGGATCCCCTGTCTAGGGCTGCAAACGAGCCGAGTCGAGTCGAGTTTTGAGCTAATCGAGCCGAGCCTCGACTAAATTTTACCAAGCTCGAGCTCGAGCTCGAGCTCGATGAGCCGGCAATTTTCAAGCTCGAGCTCGACTCGAATCAAGTCGAGGATTCGAGCCGAGCTCGAGTCGAGCTCGAAAAAAATAAAAAATAATTATTTTATTTTTTAAAAAATAAATAAAATAATATTTTTTCTTAATAAATAATAAAATATTAAGGATATATACGTAATTTTACTATGAAAATAAAAAATAAAAAAATATATATATAATATACGTAATTTTATTATTAAATAAAAATAAAAAATATATATATATATATATACTCAAGCTCGCGAGCCGAGCTTAATATTCTGAGCTCGAATTCGAGTTCGAGCTCGACTCAAGCCGCTCGCGAGCGATTCGATTCGTTTGCAGCCCTACCCCTGTCTAATGCCTCAAGAAGAATGGAAGAAATTCGACTGGCTACCATTAAGGATGATTGCATCCTTAATGAAATGATTCTAATTTGTCATAGGCTTTTTCGGGATCGATTTTTATTGCACATAAGCCTACTTTGCCAGGTTTCTTTCTCATCCTTACTAGGGCCTCCTGGACCAGAAAGATGTTGTTGCAGCTACTCCTGGATTGAACAAAGCTGGCCTGGTATGGGCCTCCTGGACCAGAAAGACGCTGTCGGAGCTACGCCTAGAGTGAATAAAGCTGGCCTGCTATGGAGAGATCAGAGCCGAGAGAGGTCTAGTTCAGTTGGCTAGGATTTTTTATAGGATTTCATAGCTCACATTGCAAAGCCCAGTGAGATCCAACATGTATGGTTGGGCATTCAAGGACACAATGCAAAAGATTATTTACAAAGAACCAAGTTGGCTTGATGGAGGTTCTCTGTGGATCCTACCTTAAATTGCTTTCGGGTCATCTTTCATGTAACCTCTGAGTGTAATCTAATTGTGTGTGTGTTGGTTTCTATCGTTTGATAGAAAAAAAAAAAAGAAAAAAAGAACCAAGTTTACTCACAAGCAGGGACGGAGCCAGAAATTTATTTTTGGGGGGGCTGAAGTGTATTAAAAATTTTTTTTTGTGACGAAATAAATATATTTAATAAGTAAAATTTAGAATCAATAATTATAAAAATAATAAAAACATATAATTATACATACCCAAAAATTTGTTATTGATTAACACTTGAAGTATTGGTAGTTGTTGCACTCGAATAACGAAGAGGAGGCAATTGCATTCTGCGAGTCTTCATCCGTTGAAAACGTTGCAATATTTGCTCATTTTCAATTGTTGCAAAAATATCCTTCTCGATGTATACAACCAGACAGTCATTCATCCACTCGTCTCCCATTTTGTTGCGCAAATCAGTCTTGACAATATTCATTGCAGAAAATACTCTTTCAACAGAAGCAGTCGCAACTGGTAGAACTAATGCCAACTGGATCAGACGATAAACAAATGGAAAAACTGTATTTTTACCAGTTTTAACCATTTGTTGAGCAAGACTTCCCAAATCTCCAACTTCTGAAAATTGAGGATCGCGTTGCACATTATAAATATAATTTCGAAGTTGAGACTCAAGATATAAATAATCGTTACTTGAGAAGTTTCAGGATATAAATCAGCAAGACTAGTTTCTGCACATTGAATTGAGAGAAAGAACTTTTTGGATCAAGACATGCTATGCAACTAAGCAATTCCGTGCTAACTTCCGAGAAACGATTATTCATCTCTTGTATAATTAAATCAACAACCTGACATCACAACAATAATAAAATTAATAACTAAGAAAATCTGCTAACAAGTAACAAATGTAATGAAATAATAATTTCAAAAATAATACCTCACAAAAAATTTCCACGCGATAATGATGAAAATTAGTGATGGTTTGACCTCTGCGACTGCGCCTGGCATTGCCACGGATTGCTATACTGTCTTCCATATCAATCACGGGAATCATATTCAACTCACAAAAATTGTTGACTTCATCTAAAATTATTTGCCATCCCTCTTCCCTAAAGTCTTGCAATTGAGATTTCATAGTATCAATCAAACTCATGGCTTGGACAATATTTTGATCCCTTTGTTGCAAAACAAGTGACAAGTCATTTGTGATTCCCAATAAATACTTCATCAGGTGCAATGCAAAAACAAACTCATAATCATTCATTCTATCAATCAAACCCCTGGCCATACCTCTATTGTCAGAAGTGGAGGCATCATCTTGTATATTTCCCAATATTCCAATCGTTAGTTTAGATAGTGTGATCCCCAACGAGTATCCCCTGGTCTTGCTAAACTAGTTTCTTGATTTTTGCCTTTTCCACTAATAATATCTCCACTGTCTAAAAGTGCAACAATCTTATCATGTTCTATTTGTCTTAATTGATCTCTCCTTTTACATGATACTCCAGTTAAATTGACAATCATAGAGACATAGACAAAGAATTCACTGATAATGATATTTCCCTTAGCAACAGCAACAATAACTAACTGGAGTTGGTGAGCAAAACAGTGAATATACATCGCATAGGGATTTTCTTGTAATATAAGGGCCTTCAAACCATTGAACTCACCTCGCATATTTGAAGCTCCATCATATCCTTGACCTCTCAATTTGGATAATGATAATCCGTGTTGCGCGAATAAAGAATCAATTGCATCTTTCAAACAAAGAGATGTGGTGTCAGACACATGTACAATTGCAAGGAAACGTTCAATCACACGCCCTTCTTTGTTCACATATCTCAAAACAACTCCCATTTGCTCTTTCACTGAACTGTCTCGAGACTCATCAACTATTAGGGAAAAATAATTGTCTCCAATATCATTGATTATAACACTTGTGATCTCTGAGGCACAAGCATGTGCCAGATCTTTTTGAATCATTGGAGAAGTTAGTTGATTATTTGCAGGAGCATTTTGATTTACAACCTCAAAAATCTCAGTATTTCGCTGGCTATACTCAAACAATTCAAGAAAATTGCCTCTATTTGAAGAACTAGTTGACTCATCATTTCCACGAAAAGCCAATCCTTGCTTCAAAAGAAAGCGGGTCACATCCAGAGCAGCAGTTAAACGGGTGCGATATGCAATATCTATTTCGCGCCCACAAGATCGTAGCACATTTGACACACTATGCCATCGTCTAATCATTATGGCAACTATTCACAGCTCCAATATGTTCATTAAATCTTTCCATTGCCTTTTTCCAATTATTGAATCCCGTTTTTGTAAAGGCATCCTCTGCATATCGACCTCCCTTATTTTGTGTTTTGAAAAGAAAGCACCAAAAGCAAAACGCCGCATCTTTCGATAAACTCTATACTTTTGATACCAAATATCTTGGAAACTTCTATGTTGTTGACCAAATGATGTTTTTGGATTATGGCCAATCGGTTGGCAAGGTCCCCTAGTCAAATACTCTCTTCGGACATGGTCTCGAAGAGAAATATCAAATTTCTCAACTGATTTTCGTAATCCCGGATCACTAACAATATCATTTAAATTCAATTCCACACAAGATTGATTTTGAACTGGTTCACTAATATTAGGCTCATTTGAAGATTCACCACTACGGACTCGTTTAGGTTTAAAGAATCTCTCCATTTTCTGTCACAATTAAATAATTGTGGTTAAATTCAATAAAATTATGCAATTCAATAATCAATTAATTTAAAATTCATATAAATAATTCTTTAATTTAATAATAAATTCATATTACTTATATTTCTCAATTTATAAAATTCATTATATAAAATTATCAAAAAGTTAAAATAAGGTACCTAAATACCCATATAATTTCTAATTCAATCTCATAAAATTTTGAATTTATGTAATCTTTCAGATACTCAAAATTCAAAAATAATTTAAACATATAATTAACAAAAATATAAAGATGAATATTGTAATTTAAACCAAAAAACTAACCTAAAAGATTTATGTGAATGGAATGGTGGAGAGTTGGAGTCTTGGAGCCTTGAATTGAAGGCTTGAAGCAGGATGGTAGAATCTCAAGTTCTCAACTGAAGCTTCTTGGAGTTCTTGGAGCCTGGCGTGAGTGGCGTCTTCTTCTTGGAGTTGGAGACTTGGAGTCTTGTTTCAGTTGTTTGCCCTTTGGCCTTTGGCATTGGCGGCGACGCGGCGTGCTTTTGCATCAGATGAAGCCTTAGGGCTTCATCTGATGTATTTTTTTTTCCCTCATTATACAAAACGACGTCGTTCCACTAAAAGTGAAACGACGTCGTTTTGTATTTAGAGGGCAAAAAAAAAATTCAACATAAATTGGGTCATCTTCTTCCTCGGACCTCAGCAGTCAGCAGACTCAGCAGTGCTGGCAGCGGCTTTCCAGGCCCAGCTATTCTTGAGGTCCTCTGCAGCATTCATGGAGGCATCAGGCATGGAGCCATGGACATGGACAGGCACGGATTTAAGGGGGGGCTGGTGGGGGCTGGTGGGGGCTGGCCGCCGGAATCCCCTATATATAGGGGATTTTCCGGCGGCTTGGGGGGGGCTTAAGCCCCCACCAGCCCCCCCTTAAATCCGTGCCTGCTCACAAGGCCCATGGGGTATCTCTTGACTGGCACTCGTGGTAAATAGAAATTTAAGAAATAATTGACAATGTAGGAATTAATTTTTTCAAATGAATAATTAGAAGACTTCTAAATTCTAATTGGAATGGTACAGATGCGGTAATACTACAAACTACTCTTAACTACTAATTTTTTTCAAGTTTTTTTGTTATTTTATCACCTTATCCCTATATTTTAGGTATTTTTACCTCCAAAATTTTAGACACTTCAGTGCAATTATTTAAGATCCCAAGCGATCATAGTAAAAATTAAAGTAGTTTTATATATGTTTGTAACTTTTAAAATTACAACTTCTGTACTACTTTTAGAATCATATTTATTATTACTCGGTATTGTTCCTAAAATTACTTTTGCACGCAAATCTTGCACACGAATATGCATGGTATGGGGGAGAGTACAAAAGGAAGAAGTGTAAGTGAGAAATTCTGAATTCGAATCCTTCCACTTATATTAAAAATATTTTTTAAAAATATGCAGAGTACTACATTTTGTGATGTGATTATGGTGTGAGATAAAAGTACAATTGGAAAGATAAAAGGCAGTTTGGAAACATCTTTAGGAATAATTTGGGAAAAAAAAAAACTTTTGCCAATGATTTACTATCCAAATGTTCTAACAATCTGTTATTTACCTTATTTTTTCCCCTTTTTCTGCACAGTCCTAACTTTCCTTCGTTGCTTCGCTTAAAAATTTTCAGTACTATCAGCTACCTCCTTTAATATTTCCAGAGTTGAACACGTATTAACAATGAAATGGGGGTGTCATTGTTGAATAGTACACATTGTCTTAAGAGGAAACTATTCGCCCTACCATTAAACTATTTTCTTTGTACCTTTTTGAACCTTCAATAATATATGTTCGCAAACAAATCCCTTAACAAAAAAAGTGTCAAATTTAAGGACTTCCATCAAATTTAGCCGTTAGTACTGATAAAATGAGGGTAAAAGGGTATAGAAAGCCCTTAAACTATTCCCATTGTTAAGTTTTGGCCCATAATCTAAATTTTGTCTAAAGTAGTTCCTGAACAATTAAGGTGGCGTTTGGTTCGCACATCGGAATTGGATTCGGATTCGAAATCGGATATCTTGGGTTTGGAATGAGGTCATTCATTCCAATACATTTGTTTGGTTCAAGTACCTGGAATGTGTATCATTACTATAGTTGATGTTTGGTTCGTCGACTCTTTCGGAATGGAATATAATAAATATATTATAAACACATTGTAAATGATAGTTATTGGCTCTTTGTAAATGAGATATAAGAAATTTTTACTAATTAAATATATTAGTATAAATGTATTAGTAAATTTAGTCTAACTGATTAATAATTTCTATTAGTAAACATGTATAATTATTAGTATAATGATAATATTAATTATATTACACAAATTAATATACATTATATAATATATATAACTAATATTATTATTATTATAAGTTTGTAACTAATTAAATTAAATATTATATATATATAATTAAATATAAATATACAAATGTTACAATATAAATATACAATTATAATTATATAATATATACAAATATTAATTATACAAATATTTTATATAAATGTAATATATATTACATATTAAATATAGTTGTTATTATATATTATTATATTTAAAATAATAATAATTATTATTATTATATAATTTATTAATATTACATACATGTATATATTATAATTATACGCACATATAATATACATTTATAAATATACATATATATTATAAATATATTATTATATAATATTAATAAATTTGTATATTTAACTAAATAAGTATAATTTATATTAATTATATTATTATATAATATATTATTATATTTAACTAAATAATTATAATATATAATTATATAATAAAATAATATCATTATTATAAGTTTGTAACTAATTAAATTAAATATTATATATAATTAATTATAATTATATGAAAGTTATAATATAATTATATAATTATAATTATATAATATATAAATATTAATTGTACTAATATTTTATATAAATATAATGCATATTAATTAGATATAGTTATTATATATTATTATATTTAAAATAATAAATATAAATATAAATATATAATTTATCAATATTATATACATGTATTTATTTTAATTATATGCACATATAATATACATTTATAGATATACATATATATTATAAATATATTATTATATAATATTAATAAATTTATAATATATATTATATAAATATAATTATATTTAACTAAATAATTATAATATATATTTATATAATGTACTAATATTATAATTATAATATATTATATATATGTATATATTATAATATATAATATATATAATATATATAAATATTAATTATATCATTGTATAATTATAATATGTAATTGGATTTGTTTCTTGGAATCAAACTTGGGAATCGGACAAAACCCACCAAAATACTTGGGAATGGAGAAACACCAAATTTTTAGAAATCATTCCAAGATTTCAATTCCCATTCCAGTGAACCAAACACCATTTATGGGGTTCATTCCATTCCCCGAATCCGATACCCTCTTACCAAACGCCCCCTAAATGTATACACTTTCAATCTTTCCGACCATATTAGTCGTAAGTGCAATCAAAGCCAAAGGGCATTTTTGTTCAATCACTTAATATAACAATCAGGACTAAAA